CAACCATGGATAACCTAGCAGTTAAATCCCTGTAGAATGTTAACACAACAGTTACATAATTAAGGACATTTGACCTCAATAGTCACACATAGTAGTGGAGTATAACAGTCATGATGAAATTCCTATCTCAGGTCCTGCAGACTTTGCTAGCTTTGCATCTTGCAGTGGATAACTGAGGAAGAGGTTTTTGTTTTTGTTTTTGTTTTTTCCCTGGAGGAGGGGAGCTAAGCTGCAACTCAGAATCTCTTTGCTGTGGCTGCAACAGGAGACCATCTGCCCAGGTGGCTGGGGGTGTGGGGGAGCAGTAGCAGGCTGGACCCAACGGGCAGGATAGACGGAAGCTCTGCGGGCTGTTGTCACTCGGCCATCAGCTAGAGAGCAGATGGAGAGGCACACACTGCTGGGGGGAAAATGTGCCATTAGCTGTTCCCGAAGGATCACACTTTGTCCCAGAGTGAGAAATTTGGAGGAAAAAAAAAAGACAGCAGTTGCAAGTTGGCGGGAGAGGGCCTAGCATGACAGGACCCACACCAGCATACAGAGAAGGGGGGGGGGCGTTGAGAGCAGGCTGAAGGGGAGGCAGGGCTCGGGCTGCCCGGGGGCCGGGTGGGGGTGCAGCAGGGAAGCGGCCGCTTGCTGCTCCCCCACCCCGTGCTCCTCTGCGGGTGTGGAGGAATCTGATCTGAGAGAGAGGAGGCTGGGCGGGTTGTGGGTACGGGGAGAGGGGTGCGTCTTTAGAGTCAGGAAGACTTAAGGGATTTTTGACCTTTTGCTTTTGCGGCAACAGAAGTTTTAAGAAATTAAAAGCTTTTCCTTCTGGCCGGTTGGCTGCCATTGTTGAGTGTATACGCCAAACCACCTGGCAGGAAAAGGTTAACTTTTTTTGGTTTTATGACCTACCTCCCTGAGGCCAAGGGAGCTGATTCGGGAGGCATCCTAGTCGTGTGTCCTGGGGGTTGGGAATGAGTATTTCCCATAGTGAGCCACTCTGAGGTGAGCCACAAGCTTCACCATCTACTCTCCAGAGTAGGAATTAAGAGAGCCTAACCGCTGTCTCAAGCAGCGAGGGAGAAGCTCTTCCCTGCCTGCATCCCTGCTCAAATCTGGGAAGGCGGGGGCAACTTTCCCTGAGTGGACTTCCTGTCATGAAGACCAAGAGGAAGCATCTTGCCTGAGGACGTAAGGGCAGTAACCCTGTCAGGAAGACAGCGTCCACTGTCAAGAGGCAGAAAACTGGCCAGGGAGATAGCTCAGTAGAATAAGTGCTTGCCTGGCAAGCACAAGGGCCTGAGTTCAATCCCTGGTTCTGGAAAAAAAAAAAAAAAAGAGGCAGAAAACCCCGAGAGCGCTCAGTTCACCTGGGCTGTGTGAGGTGGATCCGTAGGCGGGGGCTCAAGCACAGGGGTGTTTTAACCCAGGAGCCACACGTGTTGTCTATCTCAGTCAGGGCACCATGTTAGGTTTTTCAGCAGTGCTGTTGAAAAAAAATAGGAAAGACAAAAGAAGCTTTAACTCTAAAGACATGGAGAGAATTCCAGGGAACATGGGGGGGCAGTCCTCTGATCTAGACAAAGAAGGTTGAGATCTTTCTGCAGGTTTGCTAGGGGTGGAGTTTGAGGGGCAGGTTTAGTAACACCTGAGGAGCTGATTGGGGCCTCCCTTCTGGCAAGGGAAAAGTGAGAGAAAATTATACCCAGGACTGGGCTGCCGAAGAAAGGGACAGTGGTCTCTGGGAAGATAAACCAGTGTTTTAAGGGAGTCAGCCAGGTTAAATGACCACTATAATAATTCAGCAATTCATACGAGAGCCAGAACCTATCATAGGACATGTGCAATGTACCATGAGCGCACAGGACAAGTTTTGGCCATCAGGGAGCTACAAGTCTAGAGAAGGTGGCCCACGAGGGACACATAGGCACACACTGGATGGGGAGTGGTGTCACCTAGTGCTGGAAAAGCCTTAGCAAGATGACTCAGCAGGTCAGGCGTGAGCAGGTCAGAGCAGCCTCCTGTGCAGGGGCTGGGAACATGCTCCAGTCCCAGGGCGGCCAGGGCCCTGAGCACACTGTGGGTTCTGGGGGAGGAGCTGCAGGGCTGAGAGAGGCCTTAGCAGCACCTTGCACAGGAAGGAGCCAGGCCCAAGGACAGCACTGCTGGCCCCACTTTGCGATGTTGGGAACTTGACCAGAGAAGTACTGTAGTAAATTTCATCTTAAAATAAATTAAAAATAAAAATAAAAATTATCCTGAACCAAACAGGGGTGACTGTGTCCTTTGGGCACACATTCAAATTAATCTCAGTCTTAAGTCCTGTTGTAGAAGACGTCAGGCATACGTTTACAGGCACAGAACAGAGAAGGTCATAAGTCAACAACGTAGTACCAGCTGCACAGCAGAATCCTGGGTCATGCTGTCATCTCAGGGCACCTTAGCTTTGGGGCTGCGGGAGGCTGGAACAGCTAGCTCTCATTCTAAGACAGGTCTTAAACATCCAAGTAATGTTCACTCCTTTATCTCTCGTGGTTTAATTTGTCCTTATTTTGGTATCACACATGTCCTGGTGTACAGAAGTACATGGATAGTCACGTTACCTGGGAAGGAAGTGGAGTGAACAGCAGAGAAACAGCCTTTCTGAGATTTGGTGTCCAAACACTGGAATAAAGAATATGAGGAAAAGAAGGAGACAAGTGGGTCCCTGGGGCCCAAGAAGGAACAGATCCTGAACAGAGAATTGAAGCCCCCAGGGAGAGTAAGAAGACTCCAGGGAAGAAGGGGGTAGCAACCAGTGCTTTCTTCCTGAGCCCCAACTCACTGTGTGGGAAGCGAGACCTGAACCTGCAGACCCCTTGTGACTGCTGGCAATGCCACAGGCCTCCACAGAGAAACCCACCAGTGGCATAGGACAGTGGACACAGCACGCTGCAGTGGCTGGTCAGTTATTCTGTTCAGACACGCCCCAGGACAGGGTGACTGGCTGATGGCCATCTTGGAGAGGGGCCAATGGGGCTCAGAACTCAGAGCACCTGCTGGCCCCCTTTAGTAGCTCCCAGTGTCAGGGAGAGGGAGCACCGACTTCAAGTTGGCAGGAGGTCACAGAATGTTGCAGGTTGAACAAACTGGGTTTAGTCTGACTGCCACAAACCAACCTGAACCTCAGTGGAGCCAACAGTGCACAGTTGCTGGGATTATCCATTGCCTTGTTGCAAATCTACAGTTGGCCTCATGGAATTGATCAACATGAATCTGGGCCCTGCGCACCTCAGTCTACCAGTGACAGAAAGACATACTTTGGAATGAACTGTTCTTCCTCTTCCTCTTCCTCCTCTTCCTCTTCCTCTTCTTCTTCTTGTATTTGCTTGATTTTTTGTTCTTGTTTTTATATGATGGTGAACATTGTTTTTAGTTTTTTATTACTGTTGTTCTGTTTTGTTTTTATTTCTCCTTCTCTCCTTCCTGTCTTAACCAGTTTCACAAAGCTTGCATAATCTTTCTTTCCTCCATCCTTACTTCTAATCTCTTCCTCCTCTATGTCCCTATTTCCCCACAATCTCCTTTAGATTTTCTCCCCTGAGTGTAAAAGGGCCTTATTGAGTGCATATTTACTATCTTCTGATTTGTTTTAAATTTTTTTTTTATAGAACCACAAATGTAGTTCACGTGGTTATATGTAGCAAATCAACGGTTACCTCAATGTGTCATTTTCTATGCCGTCTTTGATGCCACTGTTATTGCTGATTGTATTACTTGACCCGAGGTAGCATAATTGTGCTAATCATTCATTCTTCCTGGTACTCTGAGACTGAGATTGCCTAAGGGCTGTAAATACTCTAGGCCTGTGCCAAAGAATCCAGGACCCCACCACGTGGACAGTAACTTCTCATCCTTGGTAACTGAGGAGGCAGGATTTTGCAACAGATTCAAAACCCAAAAGCCACCTACACCTGGAAAACGTCTCTGAGCAGCAGTCCTTTCCTAAGAGTTCTACATACTAGGAATGAAGCTTCCTTTTGTGTGTGTGTGTGTGTGTGTGTGTGTGTGTGTGTGTGTAACCAGGGATTGAACTCAGAGCCTTGTGCTTGCCAGGGAAGAACTTATTCTGCCAGGGAGATGAAGGGAGATGGCCCTCAGCACTCCTCTGAGGGCCCTGGGAAGGTATGCAATTTTCATCTCAGGTAAAAATTGTCACATGAGCAGGGGACCAAACCTCTGCTCTGCACATCTCTCCTCTGAGGCGGGGTAATCCTCTATAAAAACACAGAAGACTTGTACCTGTTTCATCACAAACAAGCTGCTCAGCAAGACCCATTCCTTCTGAAACTCACTTTGACCTTCCCACGCCTTCATCACACTCGGTCCCTAAGTGCTGCGCTACAGCTTTTTCCTCTTTGGAAACACAGTTACTATCAGGAGAAAGTGTGCTGGCTCCCTCCCCACATCTCCTGTCACTTCCCTTGTAAAACACGCTGCCTTTTCCTCTCAGGCAGAGCTGCCCCCTTTCTACTTTCAGTTTTGATTCTCTAATCTTTGCCATTGCATTGCGTGGGTACCACAGCGAAGCAGATACCAGAGGCCTTCGGATTCCTTATCCGCCAGCCCAAGTGCACTAAGGGCATCCTGTGAGCTCTCTTGCCTGTTAGTGCCCACGAGGCCCAGCCAGGTATGGGGCAGCGGTACCCATCTGTCCTGCTTCTTTGCCAGAACCCATCTAAGAACATTCAGCCTTGGGCAGGACTGGGCGACACCCAGCACGCGTGTGCCCTCCCAGAGCTAGCAGCCCTCATGCAAGCTTCAGAGTCCTCTGCAAGATGGGAGAAGAGGAGCGGGGGAGATGGCTCAGTAGGATAAGCGCTTGACTGGCAAACGCAAGGATCTGAGTTCAATCCTGGTTCTGCCAAAAAAAAAAAAAAAAATGTAAGAAGAGGGTCCTGGGAAGTCTTCAAACCACACGGGGGCTGTTCCACTTGGTCCTTTTCCCTGCTAGCTGTGCCTACCCCTCCCACCAGCCTCCCACGTCACTGCCCTGGGCACCTATCTAGGACAAAAGGCTTGCTCAGTTGTGGCCAGAAGCTCCCAAGCTACAACAGGCCTGTGCTCCTGATTACCTCTTGGCCCAGGCCCGGGGGACAGAGCAACGGCTGAGCCCCAGAAGACAGGCTATGCGTGCAGAAGGCCCTTCCCCTGCGGCCAGCTCGTGTCCTCATGCATGCGTTTGTTCTCAGTCCACTCTTTCAGGGTGCTCTGGAATGCCCAAGCCAGGAAAGACTCACCCAGAACAGCCATGGAGAGGGCTGGACCCCAGCCTCCAGGGCCAGGATGCCCTTGATAATCTCCCAAGGAGGTGAGGAGAAAGGGCCATTCCAGGACAGGTCTGGGACTTCCAAGGCTGGCAACTGTTAGGATTTGAGAGGTGAAAAAGGTCATTCTAGGTGTAGAGAGAATTGTTCTTCCACCCTAGGCAAAGCATCTCCACCCTGAAGGGGCACCATGTAGCTGTCCCGGGCTCTTGCCAGAGCTGAGACTGTCCACCACCGCAGCACCACAAGGTTGCTGCCACCACTGCTGGAAGGGCCTGCTGAGACTAGCAGGGTTCCCGACCACAACGGGACGGGAACGGACAGCACAAGGTTTCCCTAAGTAAGTGCATTCTTGCTTTGATCCTGCCTTGCTGTTTTAATTAGTACCCTCAAAACCAGAGGCTAC